ACCTTTTAGCCTTTTACAAAGAAGCATAGACAAATGCTCTAGTTCAAACAAAGTGATACTCAGAGGGGGGTGATCCCTGCAAGAATTGCTTGAGTAACCAACCCTTCACAGCAGGTATCAGTCTCGATGTCACATAAGAGGCTCAACACCATGGATGGCTATATGTAAAGGATGGGCACTATCAATCGTCCTCGTGCCTTCTGTAATTTACCCTAAGGCAGTTACAGCACATGTGCTTGTACCACCCTGTTACCAGATTAGATATTCTGTCAATGACTTGCTGCAAATAGACATGATGACACACCAATCTTGAAGCACGTGACGCACTCATAAAGCTGCACATGACCCTTTGACTCTGACTCTGAGATGACACAGTCAAGATTAGCGGGAATACTTATTAAAGACTGCTACCTTTTTATGGACAAAGTGGAATTTCTTCCACAACTCTGTTGTAATAGGCCGCAATACAGCGCATGTGTTGTCAATATGATTTATTGTGCAACTCAGAAAATGCCAACTCCTTGCACACTTTTGCTTTATCATTCCATTGTCGCAGCGTAGAGTAACATGTTTCCCCAATCCATATTCTGCAATGGAAATCTGAAGCATTCAGACATAATCATGTTGAGTATCTTTTATCGACTGCAAGAGCGAGCTGCCACTGCATCCTTTTGTCAACTAAAATGTTTATGATTGTGAATACGTATGATCATCCACTCTATCATTCCTTTATGTGCAAAACATAGGAGACGTTGTGTTCTTCCATTCAGGGTACAAAAAAGTACAGAGGACGACCCAAAAGTGCATGACCTCTGCAGGACAGCCAAAGTGTGCTTGTGACCTCATTCGTTCCGCACACTGTATTTTATGAGGCAATGCAGCGCAGCAAAGGTAAAGTGAGTCCACCAAGCATCCCGCTGGAGTCTTCGCAGAGAAACTGAAACCGCACGCTACATTTAATGCTTTCCTCATGGGGGAGAAAAAAAAACCAACATGTCTGCTCTGCTTAAGATGTACTGTAGAGTGGAATTATTAAAGTGATATTTTATAAGGAGAAAACCTTGTACTGTATTCCCTAAATGTTCTTTTGCACGGTATTTAATAATTTGCACAAGAGGGATTTGGATGTTAACATTCTAAACATAGGGTTGGCAATATTAGATGGTACTATACTTCTGGTGTTTGAGGAAGGCCGAGGCCAGCCCCTAGAAACTGAATTGGTGACAAAGGGGAGCCTTGGCGGAAGTGAATCTGATTTATAGTACTGCCGGCCGGCAGCACGGACCAAACAATGCAGACATACGGAGACTGAACAGCCTATATTGTGTCAGAGTGGGGGTTCACAACCTCATACTCCTGACGCACCTCCCACAGAAATCCATGACAGACACAGTTGAACGCATTCTCCAAGTCCACAAAGCACATGTAGACTGGTTGGGTGGACTCTGCATTGGTTATTCGGCTGGTCCACTGTTGCACGGAGGGGACCAAAACCACACTAGTCTTGAATCTGACCTCAGACTGTGCTTCTTTATGGGAAGGCGTGTCGATGGAATTGAGGTGGTCATATGTACTGGATATTACACAGTTTGATCGGAAAAGGCCACTTTGTACTTAATTTTTATGAAGTCTATGAAATCAGGAGTGATGGCAAAATGAAGCTTCATGAAGCACTTTTTATTTATATTTATATTGTGCATGGTAAATTGCTTTTGGAAAACCTCAATTGGAAGTCCATTTTGTATAAGAGAGAAAGAGACTAATGAATATTGTGTGCGTGTGTGTGTGTGTGTGTGTGTGTGTGCGTGTGTGTGCGCGTGTGAATATATACAGTACACCGCTTTACATTAGGTAAATTACAACACACAGTGATTACTCAGGTGTCAATTTCACCCTGGTCACAAATCTACAATAATGACCACGATGATATATTTTCGTTTAAAATACCACAGGGATTTTTTTTCTTGTAATTTTGTTCAAGGATGCGCATTGAAGTCGCTGAACCATCACAAGATCAATACTGGTTTCCACTTGATCAAAACACGTGACCGTTTATTGAAAAATCCAATAATACCCTGAATGCGAACGAAACATCTATCTACCATCACACTATAGCATGTAAACAACCTACCTGGGAGGTCATTGTTTGCCGTACAGTCCACAGTGATGGTTTCATAAAGTGGAATGTATCAGTGTCCGGAATCTTGCTCAACACATTCACGATGCAGGTGGGAAAAAACCAAAAGCAAAAAGCGCTGTTTACAATTGTGAAGAATTAAGATATATTTGGGCCATTGTGCCTGCGTAACAACCCACTGATATGCTAATAATAATAAGAAGAAGAAGAAGAAGAAGAAGAAGAATACTTTGAAATTGTTTAAAACGTGTGAAGAAGCAAATCAACACATAATTAGAAAAAGTGTGTTTTTAATTAGAAACATCTCGTATAAAAACGAACATGCTCTACACATCTGTATTCTTTTCTACAGATAATTCATAAATATCCAGGCACTGTATTTATTTTTTTCCTTTTTTTTAAATAATTCCCGTACATCAACCAAACATGATCAAACCACTTGTAAACATACATTTACTTGCCACTTACAGTATTTTCACTCATCACTTATTAACATATTCTATTTTGTAACACATACAGTATTTTAGAAAAATAAAAAGCGACATTGTGACCCCAAAAAAAAAAAAATGCAATTGTGTTCATTTACACCAGGGGTGTCAAACTCATTTGACATTGTGGGCCACATACGGCCTTGGTAGATGTCAAGTGGGCCGGACCGTTAAAATTATACCATACACTGCTATAAATAACCAAAATAATATGTCTTTCCTTTGTTTTGGTCTAAAGAAGCAAGGAACGTTAGGAAAATGTTGAAATGTAATGAACATATCTTTTACAAAACATTTCATGAAGCACCTTAGATTTCCTTAAACAAATGTGCAATTTACTTTTATCATTCACCTATATGCATTGCAACTGATCCCACTGATTGTAAAAGGCACAAAACTTTAACAAGTAATTGGTATTGAAAAATATTGTAATGCATTTTAAGATTAAATGGGATTTATGAAGAAAGGACTTTTTAAACCATTTAAACGTGCATATAAAATCTAAATTCAATCCCTGCCTACACCATACAAACTAAGGAGAGTGCTATTAAATGTGTAAAGAATAAAGTATTCGCATGTCCTTGATAGTGTCTGCTGTGTTGGGTCTGTCTCAGTGACAGACTGAGACTGCTGTTGTCTTCTACTCTGATCAAAACAGTGTGTCCCCTAGCGGATGCTCCATGAATTGCACCTTATTAGAATATTCATTCTGTGTCTTTTATGCATTTTTTCACTTTTGAATGATCCTGTGGGCCTGTTCGAACATCCTTGGGGGCTGGTACCGGCCCACGGGCCGTATGTTTGACACCCCTGATTTACACAAACACTTTTCCCACAAAAAACACTTTATCCAAATGGTGGAAAAAATACTGTACATTTGCAGCAATATCTTAGAACTTTTGTTCAAGCCGAGAGCTGCAAGAATTTTTGATTAAACCAAATGTATTGGTGACTTAGAATTCTTTGCAATGGTTTTCCTCCTGGACATCACACCTGAATATCATGTTGTTCACATGACTTACATTTTTTTGACATGCAACATACATACTCTGCATCGCTCAGGATAAGATTTAGTGTGACAATTTCCAGAGTTGCTCTTTTTACGAGGAATACTAAAGGAGAACAAGAAACTGAAGACAGAAACGGAGTTTACACATTGAGGTTTTGTACACTGAGATCTTCCTAGTGTGTTTGAACAGAATGCACTCAGACATTATGCAAAGCGTACAAAACCATGAATGGTCCATGGAAGATGAAAGGTCAGAGCACAAAATGAAGGTAATGGCTCTTATTTATCAAGCTGCAGAATGACACCCTGTAAAAATAGTCTATGTTTTCATCCAAATGATGCTTAAGTACCATATTTTCCGCACTAAAAGGTGCACCTAAAAGTATTCAATTTTCTTAAAAGGCCACAGTGCGGCCTCATAATCCCATGCGTCTTATATATGGATCAATATTCGGATTTCTTGGATGTATTATTTTAAATGTTCTGTAAAGCGCATTGTTACAACTGCAGCGGTTGTGAAAGCGCTATATATAACAAACCTGTATTGTATTCCCTTTAGTGCAGCTCCATCTAGTGCAGGGGCCCCCAACCTTTTTTGCCCACGGACCGGTTTATGTCAGACAATATTTTCAGTGACCGGCATTTAAGGTGTGGCGGAAATAATACAACGAAATAATATGGTATGAGCTGCATGAAAACTGTGGCGTTTTCGAAATATAATAATAAACACAAGGAGCGTCTAATCTGGCCGCAACATTCCAATCGCTATGGCAATGTTTAATGCCTTCAAAATACGATACAAAGCAAATTCAAAGTGCATGAAAATGACGACTCACCACAGCACCGAGCTTGATTTTCTGCAACCAGACGGTCCCATCTCGGGGTAATAGGAGACAATGACACCTCAAGTGTGTGGTTTATGTCAAGTCTACTTCGTAATTTGGTTTTTGTCGCCGTTGCTGCAGAAAAGCCCCGCCTCACACAGGTAGCATGTCGGAAATAGCAACAGTGCTACTGTGGCAATCTCAGAATATTCAGACATCACTTTGATCCAGTTATCTCGAACGTACTTTTAAGGCCGCCGTCATTTGTGATCTCCAGCAGTTTTTTTTTACTCATTTTGCGAGCTCCTGCGTTTTGTTTTGAAGTAATCGGTCACGTGATGGAGAAGCGTGGCTTGACGTGTGTCAAGTGTTACACAGACGGATGTAACGGAGAATCCGGTAGTTTTTCAAAATAAAACATTTTTCGTATTCCGAAATAAATAAAACGGAATTAAGGCAAGTTCTTTCTGTGCGGCCCGGTACCAAATGCCCAGTGGACCGGTACCGGTCCGCGGACCGGCGGTTGGGGACCCCTGATCTAGTGGATACATAAGCAACATCAGCTACTATTGTAGCATCTATTCTATGCACCTTAAAATGGGATGCGCCCTACGTATGAAAACAGTTTTATAAAAGGCCATTCATAGAAGGAGCGCCTTGTACTCTGAAGCACCTTATAGTGCGGAAAATATAAATAGCCTAAATCTCGATTATTGTCAACACCAGTAACAGTTTCCAAAATCCTGTGGGGGGTGGGGTGGGGGGGGGGGGTCGATACCAAATTTGTTCTGTAAAAAAAAGCCAACTAAATAAATTGTGACTTAAAACAAATACGTGGAAGTAACTATGCTTCCTAGTTCTACTCATCCAAACAGAGCTTTTCATCCAACGGCCTCAGTTTGTGGATGATAAATAAGGGCCATTAAAGTCTGGATGTTTCATACCTTCTGTATTGTTGAACTCTTTTTTTCTGTTTAGGTAACAGAGGTTGGCTAATGGTCTCTAGTGTTAATGATAATCATGACACATCGCATTCCATTGACAACACAGCACAGAACACATGATGCTCCCACAAGCATGCTCTGGGACTGTACACTAGGCTTGTCCAAAAAAATGATGCAGTTTTGACAAAATGATGAAACACTGCTAGAAAACAAAAATAAATCAGAATCACGGAGTGATTTTTTTTTTTGTTTGTTTGTTGCCAGATATGGTTAGTTCATGTTGCAATACTCGACCTCTTGAAAGGCATGTACAGTTTGACGAGTAGCAACTCCATTACCATTTACCAGCAGTTCAACAGCAAAAACAAGCATAGCTCCATCCCCCACCACCTCACTTTTTTGAATAAGTCTAATGGCTCAGCCCAGGAGATGCCTGAAACGTGTGCCATTGACTTCTGAAAGAAAACATACTGTTGATTTCAGGTGGTGCATTCATCCTGCGTCTGGAAACATGTACGATGTTTCTAAAGGAAGGGGAAAATGAATGGTCCCATCTTTTCATCCCTCATCACTTGCTGGCATTCGACTCATTTCTGATAAGTGGCAATTTTTTTGTGTAGAAAAAATATGACATCCTTTCGATCCCAGCTTTCCTCTGTGCTTCAGCAGATCGCTCTCTCCCCAGGCCCACACTCGGCTCCCTCTTAGATGGCATGGTTACTGTAGCTGATGTACGTCTGCTTGGAGGCCAGCGCTGCAGAGGAGTTACAACAAGAAGGACGTGGTTAAAAATGCTCATTGGTTGACGTGGGAATTGGCATTAAATGGCAATCTTGGGAACACTTGTAGCTGTCCTGGTTGACAACTTCTATTTATGGATGTCTTCATCAAGTGAGGGCAGGAAAGTCAAGTTTGCCCTTTCCCCACCTTTTTACTGGATATTAAAGATGCTCCAATACTCGTAGCGATAAGAAGGATTTCAAAAGAGGTTGCCTGAACCTAATGATCCTCTTTCTATCTCAACGCTGTATTATGAATTTGTGTTCATAAAATATACAGCATATATTCATATTGGTGATCACAATTCATGGAATCCCCCATGGCACTTTAAGTGCTTGATAACAGGATCGCTCTTTGACATGCTGTCTACTCATGCAATCACGTGTGTCCTGTGAGTCCAACTTGTGAGACTTGGAGAAAATACGTTCCGTTTGTCACAATCAGACCGTTTCCAGTGAGCATGCTCGGTGGTGGTAATCACCGCACCAATCAGCCCGCGCAGCGGATTGAATGTCAGATAGGGTGAATCCAGGCAGAAAATAGTGGCGTGCCAGCGTCAGGCCAGTGGCACCACAGACAAGGCGATGTAATGTTTCCAGTGTCAGCAGCACGCTGAATAGAGGCGGAATTGGAGCCATTTCATCCAAAGCATTTCCTCCAACAAGAGCATTGATGAATGGGTGTTATTTGAATATTTATGGGCTGTGAGGCCAAGATAAAGAATAGATGGTCCAGAAAGAATTGGAGCCATCTGTCTTTTAGTTTGCTCTCTTTTTTTGTTGCTGTCCCGTGAAGACCCATCCCTCCTTTTGTCAACCGGGAAACAAAGCAGAAGATAGACTGGTGCCATGTTCACACATCAGCGGGCTGGCTGTTTGGAAGCATCGCATACCAGTATTGTCGTCAATGTTGGCGTGTGCTGATCAATGAAGAGGTCAGGAGAATGGACTCTATGCACGGTAGCTCATTACGTATTTCTGGAGGTAAATACAGAGGCGTACGAGCTTCCGGCTTTCGTTTATACCAGGACGCCCTCTGTACCAAAGTAACCTCATGCTTTCAAATTGCGTTAACGTGGGTTTTTTTAATCATTATATTCTGTAGTGGGCGGCCCGGTGGGCGAATGGTTACCTCACAGTGCAGAGGTACTGGGTTCGATTCCAGCTCCGGCCCCCCTGTGTGGAGTTTGCATGTTCTCTCCGTGCCTGTGTGGGTTTTCTCCGGGTACTCCGGTTTCCTCCCGCATTCCAAAAACATGCATGGCAGGTTCATGGGACACTCTAAATTGTCCCTAGCTGTGAGTGTGAGCGTGGATGGTTGTTTGTTTCTGTGTGCCCTGCGATTGTCTGGCAACCGGTACCGGGTGTACGCTGCCTAATACCCGCGATCCTTGTGAGGATAAAGAGGATCAGAAAATGGATTGATGGATGGAAATTCTATAGTTCGGAGCTGGTGCTTCTCAAGGTGCAAATGTCCTCCGAAGTTGTGACTTTTAAAGACAAACTCAAACATCAAACGCTTACCGGTCAGCCGGTACTACAAAGGAGAACGTTTAGACATTCGGTGAGACAATTGAACTATTGCAACATCGAATCGAACGATGAATGTAGTCTTTCTTGCTCGGCGCCCCGGCGAGTCACAAAGCTGCGCTCTCTACTGTGATACATAAAATAGCTCATTAAATGAGATACGGTGCTTTGATCCCTTTGCCGACACTTGGATAACTGGAGCAAATAATTCCTTTATGGTAACTTGACATCATTTCAGCAGATTGTGAGTATATTTTAAAGAGTTTGATGTCATTGCTGTGAGTTAAGACTACGGAACTGGAGGTTCGCACGCCTTGGGAGCCCAAATGGTGCATGCATGTTGTCCATCGTGTCTTGTGCTGTGCTTTTGTTAGTGTGCACAGTGTTCGTGAACATCAGCAGAAACACAAAATTGGTCACAATTAGGAGAATTCAGTGAGTTACCTGAGAGCCTAAGATCCCTCACAAGGCTCCCCTCCCTCAACACAGTCTGACACAGACATACAGAGCAGTGGTTAGCTTACCACGTTCAAGGCACAGTGTCAGCATGTACACAGAATCGCTGGTCCAACTGCACACTGAGGTTGCAAAAAGGCATCGCTGCGCACGTATATGTGTGGACACATGCTTTTTTATCACAGGAGGCTACGTAATATTTCACGCAGTTGAGTTTGTCAGTGAATAAAATCAGAACTTGGAGTAATCATCCACGGCTGCTTGATTTAATCCTTCCTCCACACGCAGACTGCCTATCCATACACTTTATCTTGGTGATTAGAGAGAAAAAAAAAATCCTTCTGCAACACGACTCGTCTCTTTCATCCCTTTCAAAAATCACACAAGTGTGGGCTACTTGTCACTCCCCCTGATTGGCAAATGCAGTAGTTTTGGAGTCTTAGAGAATGGAATCTATTTGTGTACCCTTGGTGGAGGATTTTGAATTAACCTGGTGAAACAGACAAGTCACCTCCTGCGTTTCTTGATATGCTTTGAAATTCATTTGTGGATTTGTGATCAGGGTTACACAAAGACATAGTTAAAATGTTTTTGTTTCATCCAGCTTTGTGGAGAGTTGGCAGACGGACAACATTTTAAAGTAAATCAAGAAATCCTACTTTAGTCTAATTATCATTGCAACGCATTACCGTATTTCCGTAATGGAAGAACATGTAATGCACAAATCTTCATGGAAAGAAATTTTGGACCCTTCACACAATATTTCATAGACTGATAAAAATAGTGCATTGAATTTATTCAATCTTATTTTGTCAAGCGGCTGCACACAATGGAATCATCTGGATTTGAAGATTTTATTTTGTGAGGAAAAAAAATTGCGTAAATTCAACACCCCATTTTTTTTGCATTGTATCACAAATGTGTCTTAAGTGTGTCCAAACTGCTGATCCACATTAAGATTTTTCATTCCACTTGGCGGATAATTGTGCATTACTTTTCCTTACTGTAATACATTTTTTCAAAAATACCTTGAAGACCATGAAGAATGCGAAGAGCTAACGAACATTTCATCAGATTTCACTTAATCTATTCCTTAGTTAACATATTGTTAATTGCTCTTTATGACACTACATTACATTGATTTGATAAACCTTACAATTTTTTCCCGCAAACTACAGAAGTACAAGATAACAGCCATTAATTATTGGCACCTTACAAGACTTCATCGCGTGTATTATACATAATAACATCATTGGCCATTCAAAGCTGTCACAATGATTTACTTTGTCTGGGTGAGCAAGACCAACCTTGTGTTTCCAGACTTTCACAGAGTTCTGACTTTGCCTCCCCATTGGGCCTCAGACCACCTTTTGGGTTGAACTTGTTGGACATGGTGGCTGCGGTGACCACAGCCTTCAGGCTGCGCTTGCGCTTTGGTACGTTCTGCTCTGGGTGAAAGAGAACCACGTAGACCTTGGGCATGTAAAGCATTCCCAGAGAGACGGATGCACTGAGGCTGACAGAGATGGTCAAAGTTGTGGTCTGGATGTACATCTGCATTATAGAAGAGACACAACATACACAAGTATTATTAGTTGAGGTATGATGGTACATGTTTAAAAAAAAATGTCCAATCCATAGGCATTAGTGTCAAATGCATGAGGACAGTCACAGCGTTCTCACTTCTTTACCACATAAAAGTTCTGTCAGAAACTTTCCAAAGACGGGTGTCACAAAGGATATACTGTATTTCAAATTCAAACTACAAACCACAAGTTTTCCCATCAAAGTAATCCCCCTGGTGTTTAACACACTTTTCCAACCTTCTTTGCCACACTGTCCAGGAAGGATTCTTCTTGGGCTTGGGGACAAGGAATTAAAAAAAAAAAAATCCAGCCAGGTCAGACAGGAACTGCTGAACATGATTGGTTGATCGTCTGGTCCACACTGAAGAGGAAAACGTTTTGTCGGATCTTTTGTTACACCAGTCCTGGTAGTTTTCTGACAGCCCTTTTGTTATACAAGTGGTTTCTTTTAATTCAGGTGCTTAGTGAGTGCTCCGTCACGCAACAATCCTCAATTTGTCTTTATTTATTTATTTATTACATAAATGATGTGCACTAAGTAGAAGCCTCCCTTGATGGTTGTCTATGCAGTCTACTTATTTGTTTCTGCCTTGAGGGTTTAGGCCACAGCATGAGGACTTTTTGCTCGCGAAGGCCAGTGCCAGCTGCCGAACCCAGCTGGGAGTCAGAAACATAGCTACAGGCTACAAAAGATGAAGCAGAGATAAAAATCTTGCCATTGCCCCAAACACTTTTTGTTTTCTTGAATTCTGGTGTTATGTCCACCTCCATTTGCAGGGGAATTGCAGAGTTGACAGAGGGTTTGAAAAATACAGCAGGTACAGACATCAAGTCAATCCAAATATAATGGAATGCTTGTAAGAATACAAAAGAATAAAGAGGGGGGGCATGACTTTTCAAAGTGTGTACGTTTATTTGTACCTTCTAAAATGTTTGGAATGCTTTGCCTTATGTGAGAAAGCCCATGACACCGTGGTGTTAGAAATCCTTCATTCCTCAGGTTTTCGGGTAAGAGGAAATGCATTCGTTGTTTGGCATGGGATTAGCTCAGTCATCTAAATTGTACAGCTTGTGCAATATTTATTATCCTCATCCGATGCATACACACACACACACACACACACACACACTTTTACAGCTGTGTTAGAGCTGAAAATACAGTGATTGTTGCAGTCATGCATCATCACACCAATGTCTAACAGGGAGGTGTTTGTAAGACACACAGTCATTTTTCTTTGCACATAGCAATACAATCGTCAAACACCGACCACAAGATACAGTCGATAAGACTGCACAATCTAATGATATGTAGAAAATATTTTGCCTGAACAAGGGAATGTAAGCTCTTTTTTTAATTGGCTCTCTGTGAGTTTTTATTTATTTATTTATTTATTTTGGTGCATTTAATTTTGTCACAGCCACAGAGCAGTATTAAGATCAGTGTGGCAAATGTGGCTGTGTGAATGCTGATCCATGAGTTCGAGTTAGGGCCGGCCAGTAGATGTCGGCCAGGTAAGCTGTCAATACAAACTGGAAGTGATGGGTCATCGTGCTTCATCAACATTCTTCCATGGTGGAATGGCAGTGCTGTAATCTCCTGAGAAGATTACACATTGGCCAGGGGTAAAGCCAAGGCAGCACAGACCAGAGTCACTGTGAGGCGAGTCGAGACCATTCAACATCAATTTTCCCTGACGTGTCGATGTGATCGTCTATCTGTTCCATGCACATGGAGAGGGAACAATTCACAGATACAAACTGAGCAATTTTACACTTTGTTCCGAACCGAATTGCTTTCTCCGCTCATAAGGCATCTGCCAAACATGTTTCTGTACTATGGACTCATGTTGCGCAATATTTCAAGGTATCTTTGAAATGTACAGTCAGTGAAAATTGTTCAATGATTTACGGGATTCGTTCGACTTGAATGCATCCCATTTCAGATTTTTTTTTTTTTTTTTGTGGGACGATGGTGATTATCTGTATCTTGGCTGCACGTTTTCCCTCACAAGCTGTGCGAATGTGCAAGTCTTTCGAAATGCCTCAATGCAGACAGCTCTCTCCCTCAGTGGAACTCAAACCACTTATTGAGTCCAACAGCCGCAAAGAACATCAAGTCAAGTGGCCATATAATAAGGCCACTATATTTTTTTTTTTGACGGATATAAGAGGGCATAAATAAGGGTTATTATTATGTATTATTGTGATGGAACACAGTATGTGACCTTTTTCAGTTTCTACTTTGGGTGACACATGTTTAGAAACTGCTTATACTGTACGATTCATATGCAGGCATAAAGGTGTTAATCAGACTTTTTAGTTAAATTAGAAATACACACAAACAAAAATGAAAGATTCCTGGAATTATCCTCACATGACCACTGTGATCCCTGAGGCAAAGTTTGGACCCGCTGACTCATGATCACAATGGCGAGCGGCACGACACCACTCTGACACATACGACGAACAATACTCGAGTGGCCATTTTCTTCATGAGGAGGCACACAAGAAATACAACAACTCAAGTAGGACACTGACTTCCAACATGTGCAAGTCAAAGTAGCAGCCTTGTGCAGTTTCTAGACTATGATTGGTCATAAAAAATGATTTGAGGTATTCTTGGGGTGATTTGCTTCTTTCAAATTCACCTTTTCTGCTGATTGTGAAGTGCCAAAGAAGATGGGGATAAAGGCGAGCCAGACTATGCAAGTGGTGTACATGGTGAAGCCGATAGGTTTGGCCTCGTTAAACGTCTCCGGAACGCCTCTGGTCTTGATGGCATAAACTGTGCAGGTGACCATGAGCAGCATGCTGTATCCCAACAGACAGATGAGTGAAAGGTCCGAAATGTCGCATTTTAAAACTCCGCGGGCCATATCAGGATTAGCTGTACGCTGGTCTTCGTAGTCGATGATGGCTTGTGACGGGTCGACGCCAAACCAGATACACACACCGAGGAGTTGCACTGAAATCAGGCTGAATGTGATGACTAACTGTGAGGCCGGGGAGATGAAGCGAGGGGCGCTAACTGACATCTTGCCTTGCTCAAAAATTCTGTAGATACGATTAGTCTTGGTGAGCAGGGCTGCATAGCTGATACTCATACCCAGGCCCAGGAAGATCCTGCGCAGCGAACATATGAACACATCAGGGGCGGAGATCATGAGGAATGTTGTGGCATAGCACAAGAAAATGCCCGTCAGAAGCACGTAGCTCAGTTCTCGACCTAACGCCTTAACAATGGGCGTGTCGTTGTAGCGCACAAAGGTAACAACCACGAACACGGTTGCGATGATGCCCAGGACTGCGATAAGGACGGGGATGACGGCCCATGGCGAGCTCCATTCCAGCTTGACAATGGGAATGGGAATGCAGCCGGTGTGGTTGTCGTTGGGCCGAAGGTCGAAGCGGCACATCTTGCACATGTAAGTGTCTGCCTGGTACTGGTAGCCGTCACAATTCTCACAGTGCCAACAACACGGAATTCCTTTCACAGTTTTCTTGCGCTGGCCAGCACGGCAGGGTTGGCTGCAAATGGAGGAGGGCACTTCTTGCGTTTCACCTGGCCACCGCATCTCATCTGTCTGTTGGAGGATGGATGAAATAAAAAAAAAAAAAAAAAAAGAAAGAAAAACACAACAATTAACAGAAATCATCACTTTATAGCAAAATGTATATTCTACTTTCTTGTACTCCTTTGATAATTATTATAACTGTATGACCTCACATAAGTTACTTATTGACTGTATACTATCAGTGTTTTTTATGATTAAGGGGCAACCACTTTGTTGCGCAATCAGTCCTATTTATTTATTTATCATTGGTAACATTTTGGGAAGACCTCATAGGTCTACTTCTGATACTAAACAGTCAGGGTTGGAAGGGTTTCTTTTAAAATGTATTCCGACTCAGTTGCTAGTTACCTGTTAAAAATGTAGTGAGCAAGTACCATAATCCTAAAGGAATGTAAAAGTCAATAAATTAATCAAACAAAATAAATACCAAAGTAATCCTGCACAATAATCCTGATGAATAAATGTACCTGTAATCTGATTGGGTTTTTTTTTTCTGTCAATGTAACGGTATGCAGTTTGTTTTGGGAATACGTAATGCCAATCCATGTAACCCATGACACACCAAGCCTGGAAACACCAAAGAGGTTTTCACCGTGTACCACTGCTAACTACAGCTTGGTGCTTGCAGTTCATAAGAAAAGGTTTACGGGAGAAAAAAAAAATCCCATTCAGTTGGTTAAAAAAAAAAAAAAAGAAAATGCAGTCAAACGTCCTTATTCTTGGTTGTCCATGAGAAAACACATCAGTAAATGCTACGTTCAAAGCGTGTGAAGGAGGCCATTAATGAATTTGTTGATGTTTTACAGTAGACCATCTATAGTTTGCCATGAAGTTCTGGAACATGCATATTTATTTATGTGAAAGCCAACGTGTTCAACACAATTAAAACCAAAAATGTAAGCCTCCACAACCCCTCATCCCTGCGGAAAAAAAACATAAAGCAAATCATTGTGATGATTTCTGTGGGTCCATGATCAAAAGAAGGGTTAGGAACTCTGGTTCCTCGAGTGCCATTTCCTGCCTGTTTTCCCTACTCCAACGCACCTGATTCAATTGATCCCGATCATTTCAGGCTTCAACAGAGCTTGCCGATGAGCTGATCATTTGAATCAGGTGCGTTGGAGTCGGGCGGGGTCTAAAACAGGCAGGGTATGGCTCTTGAGGAACCAGCGTTCGCTACCCCGGGTTTACAAACACTTTCAGATGTTCACAAGTTAAAATACTTGTTCATACCTACACTCATGACAACATGACCGACTTGGATGTGGTGAATGTGAACAATAAATGGACTAACTTCCATGGAAAAGTTACTCGAGATAAACAGAAGTAAATAGAGGGTAGTAGCCATTATGTCGTGTTCGATCATAATGATGAGTAATTTAGCAGTATCACGTTTCATGGTTGTATTCAGTGACTAGCCTAACCTTTATCCTTTAAAAGGTTGCCTATTCGAATTGATAACCAGGGAGGGCCAATCCTCCCCAAAGAAAATTACTTTTGATCATGTCAGTGTACCGCGTAAATGGGAAATTGAGATCTACAACTACAAATATATAATAAAGATTAGAGCTATTGTTTTTCACTTCTTCACATGGCGTTCACGATTTTGGTGGGGGCTTTCTGCCACGCAATGCTGGGTAAGTTGATCAGCGCGCAAAAGAAACACAGGACCTTGATGTCTGCAATAATTCAGGAGAATACTGTACCTGTGCTGTGTGCCGCAACAAAAATAGAGTACCTGCGGGGTTGAGTATAAATGATTCATATGAGCAATCCTCATTGTTCCTGTGGTACTTTGATGTTAGCATATGCGACATTGCTGATTCAGAGGTTTTGCGTAGGAATAAAGTGGTATTTTATTGCACTGATGATGCGTTAAAACGAAAACAATGCTAAGAGCTTGACTTGCCTTTTCACCACGTTCAAGTAAATGTTGTTTGTCCCTGACTTTATGAACTTTTAAGGTCACCAGAAACCTTGAGACGACCACCACTACATGGGTTTTCTATACTGCTTTTCCATAGTTAAGATGGTGAGTCAGCTGAAGTCTTTCCTTTTTAAAGACGCTATATCATAAAGAAAGAGATCCCTACATCCAAGTGCAGATGGTCGCTCCAGTGGCCAATGATTTTATACTCTGTGGTGTTATATTTGATCTGGTATTGGTAGATTTCATAGCGGCCAGGAGCATCTCCGTTCACGTTGAAGACCACCGGCGTGCTAGCGATTCCTGCAAATGACACAAAAACAAAACAAAAATGGGTTATCGTAATTGTGCGCCTTTTGTTTAATGTCCAATCCCAGTGATGTGCAAATCGGAAATCCCTTGATGTTGTAATGCCCAGAGATTATAGTACCCTGCAGAGCTGTTAGAGAGTTAATGAAAGGACCAAATGGATGTTGACAGCTCGGCTGTCCTGCTTATTTGACAAGGGGCCACACAGCTGTCTGCTCATGTTCCCATATCAATTCACACGCCTTCATTCCGCTTATTGCCCCATCGCTTGTTATCCTCAAGGTTGTCCTCAGAGTGCAGACAAACGACAGCACTGATTTTAATTACCACTTTGAGGTCTCTATTGAGGTCTCTTCCCCTTCTTGAGCATCTGAGAATGGTGAAGCACAAAAGATTAAGTTTCAGCGATCAGCCTCCACGTCTGTGAAAAGACCTTCCAGTAGCATCGTCATCCGTTTTCGCTAGCAACCGCTTGAAAACAAAAAGCCTTCGGTAAACTCGCAGGTGCACAATGTTTTGGATCGTATTGGATTCATACTTTGAGTGTAGTCTGAGAATATCAGATACAGTCAGGCCCTGAAGTGCGTTATTTTGATAAATATTTATTTTCTCTTTTAGTGAAGATGGTTAAGTCATTCGAGATAACCTCTGGTGCTGATTCTGTTTTGTTATTATGTTTAAGAGAACTTTTTAAAATTTTTAATTAATTTTTTTTCTTCAGGGGGTGAGGGGGGTATGTAAGGCTGGTTTAAGAACTGTGCGGAGAAGTCATTTAACAACCCCTCCGATCATGACATGTATGCACCCGTCTATGCAAGTATGGCCTCTTTAAATGTGTTTCATTTCTTCCAGTAAAGTCTGAGCTACACACTCTGATATCCATGCTACAGTGATCCTGGGTGCTTCATCCATTTACAACAATGTTAAATCAGGCATGGCAGCAATAACAACTTTAAGTATGAATGTTATAGCAAATATTAAATCTTGCACTAAAATCTTGCAGTGCTTTACTGCCTTATTGGGAAATTACAACGCTGTCCCATAAAAGACAATATTCTGCTATAAATGGCTCTAAGAACATCGGTAGCAATTCAGTGCATAATCAGGCATCACATCCATCAGGATCGTGTTGGATACATCTCAAGCTTGTGCATCAATACATATAAACACAATCTTGGTGATCGTTGCTTGGTTTCTCATTTCCTTTAGTCAGCACCTATTGACAACCCCCAAAATACACCAGGATCATGTTGATATTTCCATTTTGTTTTCCAACACAGCTTTTAATTTCCTCCGTGCTTCTGAAAGAAATTCAGGATCCTGTACATTCCATTAATGTGCACCATTGATTATTTTTTTCCCCACCCCAGTAATAACAGAATAGTTCCAAAGCTCATGTCAGCATTGGAACTTGTAATGATATGATATGAACAATATTCATGATACCATATTCATTGAATAGAACAGGCAAAAATTTGATTCTATGACACAATCTTGTTCGAGGTTGTTTTAGTTTCATGCCATAGTATTTGGAGATCTACAGCAGTGGTCCGCAACCCTTTTTGTGTCACGGACCAGTTTAGACAACTAAATGCTGTTCGCAGAAAGACAACCCTTTTTTTTTCATTGCTTTAAAATTGCCAGTTTTAAAGCACTGGTACTGACAACAAAGATAATTATAGAGTAATTCAACATTTGATTAAGATTCATTTCTTTCAAACAGTCTCATTCTACTGCGCAACAAATGTAGATTACAAGAACACAGTGAACCACTTAGAAATGGTCCAATTAGGAACAATAAATACGCCTTATAATGTAAACATCATCATTTTTAACGTTACGATCCTACATTCGGCGTTAGCATCATTGCTACTTGTAAATGGACATGATTGATTGCTGCTTTTATCCGATGGCTGATGGCTAGTTATTAGCGACTAAACTGCTAATTTTTACATGGGCAGGCCGTGCAAACTCTGCTCGCATTTTTTCATGCTTTCCACTTGATCACTTGGGTGCTACTTGTTCAAATGATTCAACAGGTTCATTGTATTGTCGTATTTTTGACAACAGAGCACGCATGGCAGCTGTAATAAGGTCACTCACGCCCAGGTGAACAATATTTGATTTTGAAGATGAGGCCCCATCAATTTCCTCTCAGTATTCATCATGGTGGAGAAGCACTTGAACCTTTTGTTAAATAAATAAGTAAATAAATAAATAAATAAAAAGAAAGCTGACTGCATTGTTCGAGACCAATGTTTTTTGTTTGTTTTTTTTTCCCCCAAACCCAATTTAAGTCTGCTTAGGTCTGAAAATCAAACCCACTCTAAAAGAGCCAACTGTGCACCATCCCGTGGGTAACTGTCGACCTTGTAAATTGTTTTGTCACTTCCTTCTATAATTCCCATCAAAATTAATCCGTATGGCTGTCAACCTCTGGTTCCCTTGAGGAGGTTGGAGACAAACATACACTCGCAGAAGTAAATCTCAAATCATTTTCTAGGGTCGGGCCGTGTTGGAGGGTGGAAGCAAAAACTAAACGGGGGGGTGGGGGGGGGGAAGAGAGTTGGGAGGGGTGATGTGTTGTCTGCACCACAATAAAAGCATTGCCGTTTTTCTCCACTGACAGCCATAACTCTGATGTGATCTTTGGACTGCAGCAACTAATTTAATTATTCACAATTTTGCAGATTAATCACACAGTCACTATAATGTTGCATAGTCTAATTTTTTGATCTGGATCCAGGTGCTTTTATTGTGTGCAATGACTTGACAAAATAACATTTTCAGTGTACTCTTCGGGTGTTAATTGTCGAACCTATGACCAGCTTCTCCAAATAATTTCAATTCAGCAGCCTGATATTTGGAGACTATCTATATTCACAAAAACCCACGCGTCTGGATGTTGACAAACCTCAGATTGACTCAATTGCACTTTGATACATGGTATCTCATGAATACACACCTGAGAAGTTGACATTTCGAATATATTTAAGCAGCAACGTGCCATTGATGGTATCCATCTTGGAGCAGAGGCCAACTTTCCCTGGGCAGAGATCTTTGTGCATGTTGTGCAGAGCGTGAGCCATGGCGTAAACCGCATCAATCACAAACTGGACCTTTCCCTCCTGTTCATAGGACGAATCTTTACCAATCCTCTCGTGATCTAGGGATTCAAGTACAGAGGGAAAACATAGATGTGAATGAGCAAAAAACAAAACAAAACAAAAGCAAACAAAAAAACACACAATCTGAACCACAAGCCCAAAAAACTAGACAAGAATAAAATGAATCAACAAGTGAATGTAATCCTTTGGAGAGGTTTTAATTATGAGGCCGCTGTTCTGCCTTTACTGCAAGATTGTAATTGAATTATTAACAAGATAATGTGTCTTCCATTTAATGAGCAAAGCAGCTTATCCCCCAATCACAGTGCATCCTACTACGTTGTACTTTGTGAATAAAGGGCAGTCTCCAGATAATCATCCCATAATATTCTTGATGGAACACTTTTCTTGTCTTATGTCTTTGGGGTTTTTTGGGGGATTTTTTTGTGATCTATTTGTCTCTACCAAGCTCATATCTTTGAATCAACAAAACATGATTGCGAGGTGATCTACAAGTGGAGGACAGAGCAAGACAGGCCTCGTCATTCTTCACTGGTAATTAGATATGAATTGTCAGAATTTTATTGATTCATCTTAGCTCAGCTTGTCTCACAAGTTTGAAAATGTATGAATTGCCAAGCAAGGTTCAAATTGACAATCTTCTCCTTTCATATTGTTAAATATTTACGAGAGCACAGGACTCCGGATTTAGACCAACAGTGAGATTTGAAAACGATGTTCTGAGTGCTATTAACACTGCTCAGTTGAAAAACAGTTTGTGTAAGTGGCGCATATTGTGCTGTGTGACAAGAAAAAAAAAGCAGCAACCCCCCAACCCCTTTCCTGTGGTAGTCTGTGGCACTCATCGTTATCTCTGCAGAGGCACTCCATTATAACAAGTGCCATATTTTTAATAGATGAATAGTGAGGGCATGTCTATCTGTTATTGTTATGCTGATCCCGTAGTCGCTTGCTCTGTGAGCCGATTTGATATTAGTGAAAAGGCCCTGTCTGTTTCAAGAGCTTAAGTACTGTGTTTCAATAAATCTTTATATTTTAGCGATTAGCCAAGATGAAGAGATGAGGGAGAGGGGTTGTCAGATTGCTCTAATTCTCTAAATAGCTTTCAATTTTCGAGTTTGGGGTGTCTTCTACAGGAAACTACACAGTCCAACGATAACATGATGTCAAATTGGCTTGCCTACACTCAGAGTAGTTGGTAGATTTTATGACCTCCACAAATAAAAGCGGAGCTCATGCAAATGAGCCACTGTTCACTCCGCACCTCAATTGTTGGAAGTGCCAACAGGAGTATACTGCATACTTTTCCAAGGACAACCTGTAATCGTAGCGCTAAAGGCTCAAAGACTTTGTATTTCTCCGAGCGTTATATTTTTGTAGAATACGTTTATTTTCCTGTTTGTTTGTCTCCCCTGGCTACCTATGTTCTTGAATAAAGCAGTAAAAAAATACAAATAAAATACCACATTGAATTTGTGTGTACGCACGAGCGAGTGTGCACATACATGAATGTGTACGTGTGCATTTCATGTGCGTGTGTGTAATGTAATAGAATTTCGCATACGCCTGCGATGTAAAAAAAGACCATGTGTAGAAAAAAAAAATCTGAAACTGCATTTAAGGGTGGCACAAGAGTGGCTGTCCATATGTGGCCCAGAGCTGTAAATGGATTTCTGGGCCACATACTTGACTCAACAACTGGCCCACATCTTGTTCATCTTGTTTGCCAGAGTCAAGCCAGTGCCTCTTTTCCTCTTTAAATAATCTGATAAAAAGCAAGAACGTGTCATTTGTCAAAGTTAAATGACTATTTACTACGAGCATTTATACACAGATAAAATGTAAAACAAGCATTGTTTTGTGTAAGATTTTCTGATCGTGTGTTTCAAGACAAATGCATTCAGCTTTGCTTGGGTGCATGCACTGAACTAAAATTGATGTCCGAAAACGAACTGATGCGTGATTGACATTTGAGTGAGCGTTGGTTGACTTTTTCATTATGTGCTTATTACGGGCCTACAAAACTATCAATTGGCTAAAGTGGCTGTATTATAAAAGATTTTTGCACGTCAGAGTATTTTCATTCCCAAACTAGGCTTCTAACCCAAAGGATTCAGCAATGCCAACTATTAGATGATACCCAAAGTCAAGCAAGGTCTTCCAAGATGCTGGTCAAGCATAAGAAAAAGAAAAAAAAAAAAAAAAAAAAAAACATCTGCTGACACAAGTGACACCTTTGTTCTTGGGTGTTGACGTGATACTGCAAAACTGACTGATGGATGGTGGTACAGCAGATTCGAAAGAATCAAAACACATGTCAAACACTGTTTACAGTATTTGCATTCGTTTTCTTGGTGCATTGTGTGGATGTGGACATTCGACGGTGCTTTGAAGGCAGGCGCATTCTCGCCTTGATGACTCATAGCTGCAAAGATGCAAAGCTTGTTTCATTCAAACCGAAGCCTTACTTTGCAGTCAGACTACATGATATGATACAATATTTACTCTGTAGGCATTGTTCAAATGTAGTCCCCGATGAAGCAGGACAAACGGACTTTCTGTGTTTTGTGGAAATGGTTTGAGCAATGTCCAAAGTAATCGTGATCGATGGTCTGGCCGTGCCCTTTATGGACCGAAGCGACTGACAAAAACCATGATAGTGTGGAACATCTATCTGGCTTCTGACACACTCAAGGTTATATCAGCAATTCATGACCCTCCATCTGTGTAAAACTGAATCACATTTTATGGTTCAATAGTGTGAAACACTGAACTGTGTGTCTGTGGAGAAAGAATTATTGAATTCTGTTCTGGCCCAGCTGCAAGAATTTAAGCCTGTTCCCTTCCATGTATATTTAATCCTCGTAACCTGAAGGTTCATTTTATTTTCACCATTACATTCTTTTCACAGCTAATATTGCCTTTTTCTTTTTTTTTTTTTTTAATGAGCGAGTCTCATAATTTGATGCCCTCGGGTGATCACGCTGCCCTGTATATCTCTGACCTTTTAGCATACCGAGTAGACTTCTGTCTCCCAGGTTTTAATGTCTTGCCAAGTCCACTTTTGGCTACAGACTCCAAGGAGCAGCATGCAACTCATGTTTATTAAAAGGTCACATAAGAAGGGACGCTCAGACAAAAAAATATGTGTTTGGTGTGAGAGTACTTCTTTCTACAGCACCGCTATTACTGGTGAATTTGTGCACTTACAAGTTGTGGCTCCTTTGTCTTGAGAGACATAATCTGATACAGAACCAAAGACAGGCATTAACAATACAGCACACTGTAACTCATCTACAAAACTCATGTGAATGTAGCCATAGTTCAATTTAGATGCAACGAGCACTTTACATTTAGCTCTTGATCAATTTAAATGTATTCCAAACATCAAATATGGGGTAATCTGGTGGTACCACCTCAAACAGAAATTGATAAAACAAATAAGCAACAGGCAGAGAGAGTCGGCTAACAGTCATTCTTGGACTCTGGAGAACTGCATGCAATGTGAAATATAAACAGTATGGTGTGTGTTTTCGCTTCATTTTAAAGTCAGTGAGAGTTTTTCTTACTTTGACACCGGAAGATGACTTGACCTTGCAAGTACGGAATGTGAAGCAACATCTTGTTCTATGAGACTAAGATGTGCGGCGATGCCTTTTTTGGACAAAGTGATTTCTTCAATCGACTCAAGTTTTGTCATTTAGGCGCCTTCATGCCAGATTTGCACTCTGGATGGAGCAACCCGAAAATTGCCCTCATTCTCCCGTTTTCTCAAGCACTTTTTTCCCCCTATGCACTCCAGAAACTATAAGTTTGGATGCCGTGACAATTTATGCCAAATGTACAAATAGTATTGTGAAAGGGACTTCCAGAAAGCTGTTGAATGTAATTACACTGCCATATTTTTTTTTCTCTTTAATTTACCACAGTCTAATGCAGTTGGCACACACCTACACAATAACTTGAAGCCTTCATGTTGAAGGTTGTTTATTAGAGAACCAATGGGAGAAAAGGAGAGCCTGACAACGGGACAATAGGAGGCGACCACTCTCATGTTGGCAGCGTTTGAGAAATCCAGGGGCTCATGTATGATGAAATATTTCATGATTTTGTCTGAACCTTGAGGCTATCATTCAACTGCACCGGCTTTGCGAAGAGCCGCTCTCCAGCCAAAGCTTACTGGTGCTTGAGCTTGTTTAAGTGTCAGGCTCATTAATTTCAATCATCTACATGTATCTTAATATTAGGCCGCTGAATATGCATTCAGTCTTCAGGACAGTATACTGATTAAATCACTAATAGGTTTTATTTCACATCTAAAAAAAAGTTTTGCATGTCTTGACTGGCATAAGGCATTGCACTCGATCTTTTTTAAAGATTGAAATGGCATTCACAACGCTGAAGAAAAGTACACGTTTCCACGAATTCCAGGCAACCTGCAATGTCAGTGAATCACGCGTCTTGTGTTTCCGTGTTCTTCTTCAGATTACGCCTGGTGGGTGTGTCAGAGGTTTAGTAAGAAGAAGATACGAAGGTGAAGAGTGCACCAGCCCAGGCTTGGGAAACAGACTGGAGGATAATGGCCCATATTGGACACCAAATAATTCCATGGTCATCTACTTATTTTGGCTCATAAAGAATATCATTCTCCAGTCCGGTAGTTCTTAACCTTGGTTTGATTGAATCCCAGGTGTTCGGCGAATCAGTATCAGGGGATCAGCAGAGGTCAAGAAACACATTGTGTTTGGGTGTCTGTGCCATCAAGCTCAGCTTCAGCTGTCAAAGCTGCAACTGATCAGACAACAGCATCGACTGGCCATGATATTCGGTGTCACCAATCTCATAGCGTACCCTTTTATTGTTAAAGCTAGTCTCTCATTGAACAGCGAATGCGGATGAATGCTTGCAAACGCGGCAAATGCTGTTTTTTGGTCAGTGTTCGTAAAAGGTTACAAAGATGTTTGCAGTCAAACTTTACTTGTGCCAAACAGTTTTTCTTGGCCGACATACCTTGACATGAATATTTGAATGAGAAGAAGCAGAGAGAAGAATAATTGGATTCTTTCTGCCTGTTTTAATAGGAAGTGTTTCCTTTTCACATTACCATGATACGTCCATGATCATTATTACACTTAAGTTTAGATCATGATAAGTAGCGTGACTGTGAAAGAGTGGGTGAGCGGCCCAAGAGTATTAAGAGTGGAAATCATAGAGCGGGGGAGGTTAAACCTTCTTCTAGAATCTCACAGGAAAGGCCCCACGGCCGTGTCTTGATCATCCTGGCATTCGCGAAATTGATCATCTGAGAATATGCAGTCTTATGGGAGTTACTTTTAATATAATATAGCGAGCATAAAAGATAGAAGGACTGGGAGATGGGTTCCCACAGAACTTTTCGATAAAGTATTACCCGTAATTACATATTGATATATGTATGGCAGCAAGCAGTAGTTCTTGCTATTAATGAACCAGTTTAAAAAAACAAAAAAACAAAAAAAAAAACAAGTTGAAAAAGGATTGCCTCCCTTACACAGCCTCTTTAGTGTTTACATTATTATAGTGACATACATGACTGAAGTAATAGCTCTAATCATGCATATATGTTCTGAATGGACGATGCAATTTTCACATTCCTGTTGTATTTGTAAATGTTATTGCAAATACTGAGTATTGCCACAAAGCTTGATTTGAAAATGAAGAAATAAATAAAAGGTGGATTGAATCAAAATTGTAATCCATGTCTGAAAAATCACAATAAAATCTTTTCCTGAAATTGTTCAGTCCAATGTCATAGTATTTATATTAGGACGCTCCAGAATTGGAATAAATACTTTTGATTTAGTCTTTTTTTAATCATGTCTCTGTTTGTGGCTGCAAATGCAACCAATCTATCAAACACTGAGAACCGCATTTTGCTCCAGACAGCCTTGATAGTCCTGAGATTTCTTTGTGTCCAGGTTCAAGATACCCTGTGCCGGATTTAGCAAAACAGCCCCAAAACATAACCGAGTCTGCTGTTTGTGTTCAGAAAGAAAGAAGAACCCACAACAAACACAGATCATTGTCCCTTCGGCATGGCGTCTTGTGAATGGTCTGCATTTCAGCTCATTTCAGTTTCATTAGCTTCAAGTTATTTCAGTGATCCTTTTGTGTTTTTCATCCAAAAACAAAACGGTTCCAACTACTTTGTCTGTGTTGTGTGTACATTTAGTGACTGCTGCTTTTATCAACAAAAGAGAATGTCAACATTCTTATTGAATAAGAGGTCCTGAGTTTTGCAAGCCAATGTTTCTTTTTATGCTTGCTTTGATGGTATTCCCAGATGTAATTTAGTAATTTATTGGGGTTTGTGAGCGTATCTGTTGGCTGGGATGTTTTGACTAATTTGCTTGTAAAAAAAAAAAAAAAAAAAAAAATACGTTACAGCACAGAATATACATTGCCCAACCAGCCACAACATTATGATCAGTTAGAAAATATTTTGAGACATGAGATTTTTCCTGGGAGGTATGATGCCCAACTGGTTACCACATCCGTCTCATAGTGCAGAGTTGCAGGGTTCAATTCCAGCTCCGGCCTTCCTGTGTGGAGTTTACATGTACTCCCGTGCCTGCGTGGGTTTTCTCCAGGTACTCCGGTTTCCTCCCACATTCCAAAAACTATGCGTGGCAGATTGATGGGACCCTCTAAATTGTCCCTAGGTGTGAGTGTGAGTGCGAATAGTTGCTAGTCTCTGTGCGCCCTGCGATTGCCTGGCAACCGGTTCAGAGTGTCCCCCGCCTACCGCCCGAAGACAGCTGGGATAGGCTGCAGCAGGCTCGCCATCCTTGTGAGGATAAAGCGGATCGGAAAATGGATGGATGGACATTCTTCCTTTGTATGTTTAAAATCATAATGCTGATGGGGTATAGTTGTTTATGTTTATCACTTATGTAGTGTAGAACTGTACTGTAGAGCTGTGTCATATTGATGAATGGATAGCTTTCTCACGGTGTCAAATGAAACTGAACATTAGTATAATTGCACTCGAAGAATATTAGATGGCAGTATATTGTGCAATTTGTCATAATTTTGTGGCTGGTTGGTGTATGATATTATAAATTATGTTTTAAATGCCTTAGTGATTCCAAAATAATCATCTATCACAAGCAATATGACTGAACATTATGCACTCATTAACAGGCGATGTCTTTTAAATGGACCTAATATACTGTATGCCGCAACGTATGCAAGCCGCACGTCTACAGAGTACAATCAGTATTAGTTACAGAGGTTGAAGAGGAAATGGGCTGGTGTAAATGTATTAGCAGATGAAGCCTTCTCTCCGCTTTGTATTTCGTGACTCTTTACCGTGCTGGCAATGCATCTGTTCGGGATGTGATTAAACCATTACTGGTCGCATCTGTAAAGCAGCCTGCTGGCATTGCAGTCTTGCATCCCAAATCAGACAGTCTGGGGGATCCCTCCGACTTTAATGGCCGAAAAGCTTGTTTTCGGCAGATGTTATTGGATTTACTATTGAGTACTGTTGTAGCGCGGGTTTTTTTTAGGGTGGGGGAGGGGAATGTTTTTTTTTTATGGCTATTTTTGTCTTTGAGAAACTAGACAGCACACACACAGAAATGCTCGTTTCTCTGAAACAAAAGTAAAGGCTCACATTTACATCTCCACCCATTATGTTAAGGATAAAAATGATTGTGGAATGTGGTTCTGTAAATCCAGACTCTTTATAAATTTATGTCTGCACTACCAAGACAAGATACTGTTTGTAGTGTTTAATTTGAAGGACAATTTACTTGATGATTGATTGTGAGTTTTCCTTCACTTGGGTGCCGTTGTTTTTTGGAGTGTGGACTCACTTGTGCACTTTTTGATCCCAGAGCCTTTCTTCACAGCATGTCGACTAAGCTTGCACTGGAAGTTGTTCTCCCAGAACTCAGCAAACCAGATATTTCGCCTGTTGTTCTCAAGTGTTCGGCTGATGAAGTAGCGGTCGAAGCCTGCAAGAGAAGCTTCAGATTTATACTTTCATCTCCAAATCAACCATTTCATTCATTTTTCACAAAGGCAATCATTATCAAGTTTGGTGTGAGGGTACGATGGTGACTGTGTGAGCACTATTGCCGCTATCCGTAACTTATCACGGAGGTGTCGCCATTACTGATCAGTTGCGACAATTCAGGTGACTCAGGAGACAAAAATATTTCTGGCGCTCGCTCCAGAGTGACATCTCGCTGAGACTGATTCACCCAGAAGTCATGTACAAATAGAAAAAAAATAATTTGCTTTTCATGCGTCAAGACCTGAGCGAAGGTATCTCGATTATACCAGTCCAGTGCAGTCTCAGTCACATAATCTCGTGGGTCACGCGTTGTTGCGTAGAGCGGTGATATCTCTGTGTTGTCTCGGGTCTTGTAGATGTCGCAGAGACCTTGCGGGGACAACTCCACAGTCGCGGAAAAAATTGGTCTCAGCGATGTCTCTGAGATGCCTCCAAGGCCTGCTGGAGACTTAACAAGTTTCCAGAAGGTCTCAGACAAAATTCCAACATGCTTGAATTTACTGCAACTCCTTGGCAAGCCGGCGAACCTCTCGGAAAAGTCGTGGAGAAGTCTCCAAGACTATTGAACACTGGAGTGGCAATCAGGTTGCCAACTAATCTCCTTGCCGGTTACAAAGGCCCTTTACAGCCTTACTCCAAAACTGAATACATTTGTTTTTTTCCTCGGAATTCTATTCACAACACCCCGTATTGACAGCATAATATTTTTCAATTAAAAAAAAAAAAATCCTGTATGTTAATAGTCAACCTTTGTCCGTTGGTGCAGCAATTACATCCACATCAGGTTGGATGGAGAGTGTTGGTGAACAGATATTTGAGGTTATCTCCAGGTATACCGAATTGGATTTAGGTCTTCACACAGTTGAACTGAAGCCACTTCTTTGATTTATGTGTTTTGGATTCTTGACCTGCTCAAAGATTAGCCTTCGCTTTTGTGCAAGTCAGAAGAGCTCTGGAGCAGGTATTCGTCTAGGATGTGTCCATACATTGCTTCATTCAGTTTTGCCACAATTCTCACTAACCTCTCTGTAAACACGATGCACCTGAGCTCAAATTTGAGCGATGAATACATATTGTATGTACATGTGATTTTTCTCTTTTTTGATTAGGTTTTTATTAAATACAAAAAAAAAGAAGACATTATTCACAGGCTATTTTCTACTGCAACATCTGTGCTGGCATTCTTAAGTCATGAATGTAATGTTTTGTGTTTAATGTTGAATGTAATGTTTTTTATTTAATGACATTGGTAATAACACAGCACCTTTGATGGATTGTCGTTTCGGCAGGATGGTTACAGCTCCTTCAGCCATCTCTTCCTGGTTCAGTATCGGGGAGATTTTGGACCCCCAGCTGTCTGAACCGACCCAGATAAAATGGCCTGTTTGATTGGCCTTCTTTGCTGCTTGGAGCAGCCGCCTAGAAGACATGAAAGGCTCTGTAAACTTGTTCGGTATATTGTTATTTGCTGATCTTTTTAATGCATGCAGGCATTCATCATCAAAAAATCTAAGTTTGTCTTTCAAATGCACCACAAAGAGGCAGCAAAGGTACTTTGCAGGTAAGTCTATGACTTGAATATTATGTCTGGACGTATTTGCATACAGAGGCAGAAGAATGGAGTGGCTACCAAAGGCTGAAAATTTCCTTAGAGTGCAGATCTGGTTGTTGCACAATCAGGCGCATGCCACATTTGTCCAGGCTTGCTGCCAATGGAAGTAAATACGAGGCGCTGCGCAGGCACATTTGAAAGCTGGAGTGTAGCAACATATCAAATTTTTAAAACGCCATCTGGCCTGTGTGTCTTTGCTGACCCTCATTGCTCCTACAACACAATAACAAAACAGAGACAAGCAACGTATTGTGTTGTAGATGCATACTTTTTACCCAGAACTTGCTGTCAGAACAAATATTATCAGATCTATAAAAGAGCCACGCAAGGCCACTATATCCTTGGAGAAAAATGGTGAGCAGTTGTGAGGTGCTTTTACCACATTTTATGACCACATCGTTGTGTATTTGATGAGGAATAAAAGGAAAAAGTCTAATTTCCACAAGTGTATTTTGTGCTCCGTCTACAAAACTGTGAGGAATACATTTTCTCACCACCAGATAAGTGAGCAATGGAATGTATAGCGACAAGTAAAATTAAGGCCCACCAAGGAACTTCTGCAAATTATTCTTACTGAAATTTGAATCATATGGTTTGGAACAATATGCACATTTGAGTAAGAGAAATGTCATCCAAATGTTGAAGCAACGCAAGTGACAGACAAGCAGAAGAAAGCAGCAATACAACTGTTTTACAACGAGGTCACTCATCAACGGCTAAAATTCTTCTTTTCTAAAACCCAGAGACCAAAGTGATTCATTCGCAATGTCACATTCTCATACTCCATTAATAGGACACGATATTCAGAGCAATTCGCTAAGTTATGAAGACTGCACATGGTTCAAGGATACAGCAGGAGGTTGCAGTCGAGATCCCACTGGCTTTAGGTAATTAGTATACAGCATATCCACACAAGGAACTGTCATCTGGATGGGATTAAGTCAATGACCACCGGGACTTTTGGCCCTGTCGTCATCAAGGGAGCGCACTAATTCATTGGCCTCGAGAAATACACTAGGCCACAAAGTGCTTGCCAGGGGAGAGCTTCCCTTACAAAGCCACAACAGTGCTGTGCGTGATGATTATGTCCACAATTAACTCTTCTGAATGGAAACAATCCATCTTAAAAGCATATCATGAATTACAACAGATACATGATCGTCGCCACGACTTTAGCTTTAGAATTTCATTGAATGGAAACAGATTTGCTTGGACGACAAAGGGAGTTATGAGGTACTTTTCAATACAACGCAGAAACATAATTTGTGAAATGTGGCTCATACAATGCTTCACACAGTGGCGCAACCTATTATGCTCCATATACGATTGTATTCAATACCTGTTTTTACTTTGGGGGGTATTATTTTCAGGTTTTATAACAAATACATTTGCTTACTTGTCCTTGTAAGTTCTGAAATGTATCTTTTTTTTTTTTTTGTAGGCTACTGTAGTTACGTTATATATTCTACATTAATCAAAACTACAATGTGCACAATGCAAGTCCCAGACATGGGAAGAAAGTGTGGAAACGTCATTATAAGTAGATGCTTTAAAACTAAAAAATTCATTTCACTTACCTGATGTCATCCTCATTGGCAAATATAATGACTACCCGGGCGTTTGGGTTCTCACTCAACCTATGAATGATCTTGTCAAACTCCCCGGCTTTTGGTTCACGTGGGATTTTCACGGATTGGGAAATGCAGAGGCCACCTAAAAAGGGGGGCGGGGGCGCAACCAAGAAAAAGTTGAGGTTAAAATATCAAGAACTTCAGGTTCATTGTCCAACCTTTCATGAGATTCTATGTAGAGGTAAGATCGGGCCGCCCGAGCCCGAGCCTGACCCGACCCGAAATTCGGGTCGGGTCGGGCCCTAAAATGGCAATCATTGGTTTGGGTTCGGGTCGGGTCGGGCTTCTCTCTCGCTGACTTTTTTTTTTTTTTTTTAAATAAATATTTGGCCGACACTAGGACCATGCTTCTCACCTGGCCAGCAGGCATAAAGTAGGGGGCGTGTTTATGTGAATGTCTACCCAAAATACTCACAAATAAAATATGAAATGTCGGATTTGCTTCGGGCTCGGGCCTGCAAATCAAGCTAAGTGATCGGACTCGGGCCGGGTCGGGCTTTAATACCCTCGGGCCCGGTCGGGTCGGGCTCGATTTTTTAGGACAGATCTTATCTCTAATTCTATGTACTGTGCGAACAATAGAGGTGAAATGTGGCATTTGGAGAGTTACAATTTTCAAGTGAGTGACTTCAGATGCAGTCATTACTTTTCTGTTCAAGCAATTGACTCATTGTTTTTGATGCCTAATAAAGCAACCGTATTTGGTATCTGGAAAAAAAAGAGAGACTCCTTAATCTGATCTATCAATACATAAAGATAATTGCACAGTTCATTTTCCACTTAAGTCAATGAAATTATTCTTGAGACGCATGCTTTACCTCCATCAATTCCTCTCTGAGTGGGACAGAGAGTCCTTGTCCTCTCTGAGATCATCTGCTATTGAACATCTATAAAAAGGTTACATTGGACTGGTCACCAATGAGACGTTTAAATTCCCAATGCACTACTTCAGTCAGATTATATTTCGCACCATGCCAAAACACCAAAGTGACGATGTGCATGATGATGAGTGTTCCTTTGCTGACCCTAAACGAAACCAATGAACAATCAATGCAGGGATAACACCTTATTTAGTTCACACCCTGCGCACAATTCTGGCACAAGAAACAAGAAATGTGGGGAAAAATCTGAGTCAAGTGTAACCATTGGCCTGCACCAACATACAGTGGGTAATGGATACTGTGAATTTCTTTAATCACATTTTCAGAAGTTTCTTTTGTCATTCCAGATTTCACTGGGAATGTTTACTTTTAGGAAACCTGCAGTAAAATGCCCCTTGTTGTTGTGTACTCTTGGTCACTGCCAGAACACAACAGTTCTGTATTGTGTACTGTATTAACGCCACTGGTTAACACATTACCAGTTAGAAAGTTTCGGGATTCCTTGCTACAACTGCTAACCCCGCGACATGACACCGGAAAAGCAAAAGAAAATGGATGTACTGTATGTAGCTGTAAAATCTTGCATTTTACAATTGTTTCTCACTTGTTTATATCCATGGTTTGTGTAATATCTCGTTTTCAAGCAAGTGCAGAACAGAAGAAAAGTCATGAACTTGACATTTTCCAATATTTGTACATTTATGCTATTTCAAAGCCTTGGTGGAACTGAAGCAGAGGTTGTCTGCCCCCGCCTCCCCCCACGGCCTCCCTCGCTCTCATTACACTTACACTACCCTTAGAGGCTCATGGGAAATTTAGCAGTGGTTCTCTGCTTTCTGAGACTCTATCAATCATTGAATTCTATGCCTTTGCTTCATCGGTACTTCAGTCCCCCATTCCCTCAACATCTGCTGTGTGGAAGCAGAGCACTCATCCCTTCCTTTTCTTCTTTCCTCACATCACTAGGCAGCCGTGAGCCACCTCAGGAGAGACTAGAGGGGAGGACCATGGGATGAGAAAGCAGCCTCGGGGAGTTGGGACACAATGCACAATACTGCTGTTGTAACTCTGTGAGTTATTTTGTGAACAAAGCAATTGGATTCCTTGCCAACACAATCCATTCATTTGTCAATGCATCCGTCCTCATAGTGGTCTGTGAAAGAAGTCATTCCTGGATTGGAAGGCCATTGCTAATCTTGTGATGAATTCACTGGCTCTCAGTCTGTGCTTGCACTTCTAATAACTTGTGTTGACAAAACTCTCACCACCTTGCAAATGTATAAAAAATGCAGTGTCCTTTCAGTCAAGTTGATGCATACTGAAATTTGTTTCACAATTGAATCCAACAATTTCAAGAAGCTCCAAAAATAACTTTTATAATTCTTCCAAAGCAGTATGATATCAACCAAGCAAGCGTGTTTTCTCACAACAGGCAACTGGATTTCATTTTGACATAATGGCCTCATGGCCGTCTAATACTACATTCCAGATGTAATAAATAACATTAGCCTCAAAGAACATTGCAAAGTAATTAATAATTAACAAATGTCTGTTTTCATTGTTTTTTTTGTTTTGTTTGTCAACCGTTTTGTGTTTGTCTCCCGAGAAAAGCTCTGGAGACACATCTGCCCTTCATTAGAATTTCTAGAAAATGATTCAAGCTGTGGAGATTGCAAAACCAAACTTTACAACCCCTTAGTGCTTTCAACAACATTATGACGGGCTGAGGAGAAACCTGTTATCTCTCCAATCCTGGAAGGTTGCAGGCCAACTAAGGTGCTCCACGACTCTTGTCACTTTGTGTGACATGAGAGGCGCGGTGTGACAGCGCCTGCCAATTCAAGGCTGAAAGTGACCTTCACGCAGGCGGCTACAGTTCATGGCACTAAATTTTCACACTGACAGTTGAATGACAGACGGTCGTAAGGATCTGAAAGGTCGCATTTAGAACTCTTTGACCCAAAACAACAAGGTGTAAAATTAAAAAACAAGTACAAAAAAATAAACGCTATGATTAGTTGTTAAAATCTTTAACATTAACGTCAGAAAGAATTTTTATGGCTTGCAATAAGGAGCAATAAGGAGAATTGATCGTGGGTATCTAAGACAAGAGTTGCTGGCTGTGCTTGTACAAACCTTTATGTGCAACAAAATTACCAGAACACGTCTATTTCAAGACTTAATATAATACATAACGTTGTGTATGTTCTTTGGCTTCTTTAGCACTGGACTACGGCTGCAACTATAACATATTTTATCATTCAGCTATCCTTCTGAAAATTGCATTGAATAACCAGGTATTTGCATAAAAATGTTTGGTTATAGATTCAGAAGACCCCCCCCCCCCCACACACACACACACACACACACACACACATATTTTCTCTGCATGAACCAGCAAGTGGTTTTCATTTTTAAATGGCTGTCATTTGTTTCCACAGCATCACATTGCGTTCTTCTCTAGAAACATGAGTGAGATTTTAGACAATACTCGCCACGTTTTTTAACAAACTTTACTGAGTCAATTAACAAACAGTACAACATTAATATGCTACATTTTTACATTATATATGTACATACAAATGCAGTAGAGTAAATCAGTTCTCATTTGCAGATGTGATTCCCATGTTCAATCAAATCCGTCCTAATAGATGTTGGTTTATGAGATCAAGTGACATCAGAACAGTAATGATTTTGCTGGCACCAAAACAACACACTTGAGTAAGCCTGGTTTGTTACAAAGTGATCAGGAGGAACGCCAACTGTGTCAGGATGTCAGCATCGAAGTGTGCAGGGTCATTCTCATCTATTAACTTGCCTTTAAAAAGTAATCTGATGGCTCTTGCTAGCCGCTAGTGCGGATAGTTGCGAATGCTGCCATCTATTAATACCTGAGCCACCAATAAACGTTGGCAGCAGGCGCCGTACAATGCAGTGTCAGTGTAATTAAGTAATTTTTTTGTTAGCACCCTTAATTTGCGATTGAATGTTATGTCAGGACGATATTGTGTTGCTTAAGTCAGTAGCAACGGTTTGTGATGGCCCAAGTAGAATCTGAAAAATGAGTCAGGTCTGCCGTTACGCTGTGACACACTGCCGGGAAAAGTTTTTCTTTTTTTTCTTTTTTTTTTTTTTGTGTACTCTCATTTCCAAAGAAGCACACAAATATGTGGGAGGAAACGTAACCTTTCCTGCTGTGTTAATTAATGAGCACATTTGTATTTGACAGACTCATACTCCAGGGTGAGAGCTGGACCACCCAATCGGATTACAGGAGAGGAAGCTTCCTGCTGACCCAAGAAGGCAACTTGAATATTCATCCTTAAATCAATCAGTTGTGGTTGGCTGTCCGCATGTAAATCTAATGTAAATAGTATGCTGACAGTAATGTAATTGCAGTGTAAGCATGGCAATGTGCAATTTCAGGATGGCTCTTTGAAAATACGTATTCATTTATTACATGACCTGTTGAAGCCATTCCCAACTAATGTCATGAAACACACAATAAAACTGACAAACGGAAGCATCCCCGATGATATTGCAGCAGCCATTGTTGAAAACTTAATGAGGAGTGTATTTCTCTCCCAACGCTCATTGCTCCTAATGGCTGAGCACGACCTAAAACCACTTGTAAAAATAGCCACCGCAGAGGAGACGGCGAGCCACTTCTATTCTCTTCCATCGTTTGCCAGATGAGACCACAAATATTACTTTTTGTTTGACACTTGAGGGTGAGCAGCGGTATTGAGCATGACATGTTTTTTAGGGGATGTTAGCTGATTGCGGCACACCATATTTACCTGCTAAAACAATTGAACAGAAGCATACAAATTACATACATACATACAAAAAAACGACTGCTGTCAGGCTGCTGAATAAACATGCGTGAAAACTTTTAACCATTGTAAATAGCACAGCCACCTTACGCTGTGTTTTCTATGCTATTGCTATTTATTATTTATTATATTTATTCTACAAATATATTGCTAATGCTTTATTTTATATTGCACTTATATTGAACTGTGTATAGTTCTTTTCTGAAACATGTATTTCGTGCAATGACACACTTTATCCCCCCCCCACCAATCTTGCTGCTGTAGACTGCAAATTTCCTCAGTGTGGGACGAATAAAGGTTATCTTATCTTATCTTAAAGAGTTCCAGTGATGGAAGGGTAGTCTAACATGTTTCGTTAATCTGAC